CTAGCTAACTGCTGCTAGAGGACGCTATGCTGCTAGCTAACTGCTGCTAGAGGACGCTATGCTGCTGGCTAACTGCTGCTAGCTGACACTGCGCTGCTGGCTGATGCCATATTTATAGATGACATCACGCTGCTGGCTGATGTCATTTACCCTTTCTGATGGAAGGCAGATGTGCCCTTAGAAAGCACCATTAATCCTTGTTGTTGATGGTGATAGTGATAACGATGATGATGATGATGATTGTTATAGTGATGATGGTGATGATGATGATGGCGGTGTTGATGGTAATAGTGATGATGGCAGTGTTGATGATAACGATGGTGATGATAGTGATGATGATGATAATGATGGTGGTGATTATGATGGTGATGGTGATGATGATGGCGGTGTTGATGGTAATAGTGATGATGGTGGTGTTGATAACGATAGTGATGATAGTGATGATGATGATAATGATGGTGGTGATTATTATGGTGATGGTGATGATGATGGCGGTGTTGATGGTAATAGTGATGATGGTGGTGTTGATAACGATAGTGATGATGATAATGATGGTGATAGTGATGATAATGGTGATAGTGATAATGATGGCGGTGTTGATGATGGTGATGGGAATATCCCAGTGGCATGGTCTCACACATGCATGGCTGTGGGTTTGAATCCCACCTCTGCTATGTGTGTGACTTTGCATGCTCTACCTTTGTTGGGATGGTTTCCTGTCCAGGCTGTACCTCAGCCGTGTTCCTGGTGCTGCCTGGGATTGGCTCCATGCCCCCTCTCACCAGCTTAACCAGTCAGAAGATGGATAGAGTGTTAATATTAAAGATTTCTGTCTCAGTTCACCACTTACTGTCCAGCCGTGAAAATGGATGAGCAATGGATGGTTAGCAATGGATTATAGTCTAATAATAAATACATGTAAAATTTTTAGCTAAAAAAAGAAGCAATGAAAACAGCCCCCATTGGACATGCAAAACTGAAGAGTTAATCTGATCCTTACTATGGAATATAATCATCAGAACACTGATTGCATTGCATGAATCAGTTCTTTTCAACTAATCATCTGGCACAGTTAATAGAGATAAGCCAAGCATGTAAATCATGGATAATCAGGCAAATAATATCCAGTTTTCGGCCTTCTCTGATGATAATTATATGTTCAGCCAACACCACCATTGTGATCTCCGTAGACTAAGGTAATATTATGCGCTAATTAATTCTACTTTGATTTCTTGGAAACTGTTTTGTTACTCTTGTGTTCTTCTATATGTTATGAAATATCTATTTAATGCTAATATAATTCCCTTCTTTGTGCTACACAGCGTTAACTGAGGGCACTGTGGTGACTTAGCAAATAGCATTGTAGCCCTACACCTCCCCATTGAAATGCCCCCCACGATCTCTCCATACATTTTCTAAGCTTCCAGTACTGTCTTTCCTCTTTCCATACAGTTTCAGTGCACATATTTTTAAATATTTTTCCGACTAATTAAAGGTGCATAAGAATAGTTCATTCTTATTCTTAAAAAATATAACCATTCCATATACTCTCTCAGACCAGTATCTCACTGTATGCTCACAGCAAATAAGTGATGTGAGGAAATCGCTGTAGGTCTTTAATACCAGGAATCTAATCATCTAGGGCAGAGGTGGCCAATCTTATCCGCAAAGGGCCGCTGTGTGTGCGGGTTTTCGCTGCAGCTCCCTAATCATATTACTAGTTAAAGGACTGATTGGCTGAGGAGTCCTCAAACCTGGGTTTGAACGGCTGAACTAAAGGTTACCCCAAAAACCTGCATAGACACCGGCCCTTTGCGGATAAGATTGGCCACCGCTGATCTAGGGGGTGTTGGCCAGTTCACTCTTGATCAAGCAAGGAAGTATGAGAATTGAATATTCACCACATAACAGAACAGTACTCACATGAAAAATGAACGTGGAATGACGGATGAGGCCTCGTTTTTGTGTAAGGTTCACATGGCAACAGAAGAAGGTTTCTGCCTGACATTTGATGATTCACGCCGAAAATAGAACCGATCGTTTGCTGACTCACTTGTGAACCTTTTCAAGTTCTGACTATAATTTAAAGTGATTAAAGTTTTTAATTTTCTTGTAAAGGATCTATATTTGAAAATACAGAGTTTGACACTTCGTCGTGTCACGTCTGGGTAATTTTCAGCATAGCAGTCATTTGTTCCATTTAAGGGAAAGGTTGGAGCATTCTGAGACATTTTGGAAGTCGCTGAAAGCCATAATTACCAGCCCTCGGGAGAAAACTGCGGCAAATTACAGTTGAGTGCCGATGGACTAAAATAGCGTGATCCAGTTATTTGCAAATGAGGAATGCTGCTATGTTATCAGTGCTGAATTGAGGGCCTGGACTGGCAAATAGGAGACGGGTGACAAGGACGGGAGATTCTGATTGGCCGTATTCCCACTGTCATGTGCGTTCGATTACTGTTGACTGGAGTAGTCTGACAGCTTCGGAGAAAATAAACAGAGACTCTGTCACATTTAATACCTGAACCTGGGCCAAATAATTAAAAATTGGGATGTGGAAATTAGAGACGCTGTGTGTTTTGTTGCTGATACCGGTGTGATTCGTGTGTGTGTGCTCGTCAGCCAAATGTCATGTGCATCTGGTGTAATTGTCCATAATTATGGATGATTCTTACAACAAGGGAGTTTGTCATCCAGGTCTTCTCTCCATGAAAAGGAATGATAGGCATTCCTCCCTAATGGATCTGCAGCGATGACACTGTGTTAATTCTGTGTGACTGTGAGCTTCTTTGTGGTGTTTATCCGGGATTGCCCCAGCTCCATGAACACTGTTCCCAGTCATTCCCTGTCCTCTGTTGGGTCAGAGAAGACAGACCCCTCCCATATGAGCGCTGAGGAACAAGGCAACCGTCTACTGGCCAGAGGTGGAAAGTTCAGGTTCAGAAAGTACAAATCCAGACCAGGATGTTGTTTCAACAAAACAGGTGAGCATAAAGACTCACAGAGTGCTCAGCTGGTTGGTTGAGACTTGGTCTGGATAATATGAACCTGTACTTTCTGAACCTGAACTTTCCTCCTCTGTGACTGGCAGGCAGTCTGGGGAGACTGGGGGACACCTGAACACCCCTCAGTGGGCTGTGTCTGGTCA